GTCTACTCATCTCTTCCTCTGTGAGGTGCAGGTGGTGTCTGTGTCTGAGAGTGCCTCTCTTGTTCTAATTTTTAGTCTTGGTTTAGTAGGGGTTCTTGGTTAAATTGGTGCTATTGGGCTACTTCTTCAGGGGCAGCTGATTTCATTCGGTGAAGTATATACTTATGATTCTGGTGATCTGGTTTGGTGGCTGGGTAGCACCTTCTTCTGTGTTCCCAGGTCACGTTTTGTTCATTCGTCAACTCCTCAGCTGATCTTGTTTCTTCCGACTTCAAACTGTAGGGTTCTGAATCCTCTCCCAGATGGGTTTCAGCTGAGCAGGGTAGTCTCATCAACACCTCCAAGTTGTTGGGTTTCACAGGATCAGCAGCTGGGCCCTGGGTTGTCCTCAGACGGAGTGTTCAGATTCATTCTGGTTCCATCCCACGGAGATAACTTCTTCCCCAGGTGTTGGGGTTAGAGGCGTCCCTGTTCCAAGCTGTGTCTGCTTGTCTCCGTCCCTGGGCCTGTCTACCTCTGCGGTCTGCCGCCGGGCCTGTATGTCCCTGTCAGCTGCCACTGGGTCTGTCTGCCTCTGCAGGCCCCCGCCAAGCCTGTATGTCTCTGCTGGCTGCCACCGCGGGCCTACCTACCTCTGCTTGTCACTGCCGCCGGGCCCATCTACCTCTGCGGGCCGCTACCGGGCCTGTATGTCTCTGCCGGCTGCCGCCCAGCCTGTATGTCCCTGTTGGCCACCGCCGCCAGGCCCATCTACCTCTGTGGGCTGCTGCTGAGGACCTACCTGTGTCTGCTTGTCTCCGCCGCCGGGCCTGTCTACCTCTGTGGGCTGCCGCTGGGCCTGAATGTCCCTGTCGGCTGCCGCTGCTGGGCCCGTCCACCTCTGAGGGCCCTCCTTTTCATTTTTAACTAGCATTTCACTATAGACATTCTACTGTTTGTTTACATATTCACCTGTGATGGCAAAGTGAGTTGACTACAGTGTTTGGCTAGTACTGTTGGACCATGATGGTGTAGACCAAAGTGAAGGGTGGGAGGAGACAAACCACAAATCTGAGAAATCTAGCTCCCGTATACTTAAGTACAACAGCAACAAAAACCACAGGAGTCTGTGAAATTTTCTCCTAAAACAAATTAGATGTTTAGAAAAACTAACTTCACACAGAAATAGGAACAGAAGAGGACCCAGTCAAAGGACCATACACAATCTGTATCTACAGAGGCTCAGCGATGGCCCGGCAGTTACAAGCACTTGCTGTTTTCCTAAGAGGATCCAGGTTTGGTTGCCAGCACCTAGAACCATCTGTACCTCCGTTCAGGGGATCTGACGTCCTCGTCTGACCTCTATGAGAAGTAAGCATGCATGACCTCTATGAGCACTAAGCATGCATGTAGTGCATGTAATAGACATGCAAGCAAAAACATTCACACATGAAATAGAATGAATAATTACATAATGTCATTAAAAAGCCAGGCATGGTGGCTCGCGACTGTAATTCCAGCACACAGGAGGCTGAGACAGGCTGGAATTACAGGCTGCCTGGGAAAGCAGGGAAAACTGACTACAATGTGAGACCTTGTCTCAAAAACAACAAAACTCATGAAGAATAAGGAGAACAATATGCTGAAAGAAATTATAACTTATTTCAGAGTTAAACATGTTTAAGAAAAGTGTACAGGACATGAAAGGAAAATTAAAATTAGGAAAGTTTAAAAAAGTAATAAAACTCATGAATTTTATTGTTGCTATAAAAGAGAACTCATTTCAGAAGAGAAAACCAAACACAAAGCAGAATGCCTTGAGTTAAGTAAGAAAAAGGACAAATCTAAAAAATATTATCAAAAATTGGTTAAAAAATATATAGCCAAAAATAAAGGTTAACAAAAACAGAAGTCTGCAAGGAAGAAAATGAAAGTAACTGAGCTGATCAAAGGCTGCAAATCATATAATTCAAGAGTTTCTCAAAACATGTGAGCCATGTATGCAAAGAATATTGTGAGTATGTGCAAATAACAACCAAGAAGTCCGCACCCCAATGCAAGCTCTGACCAAGAGACTAGACTTGAAGGAAGGAAGGATGGAAGGAAGGAAGAAAGGGAGGGAGGGAGGGGAGGAGGGAGGGAGGGAGGGAGGAGCATGCAGGGGGTGCTGAGTGCCGGGAGATAGCGACTAGGTGTGCAGAAAGAGGCATTTACCATGACGTCCGCTGGCTGTTATTATTAGGCTGTACCTAATAATAATGAGGTAACTCACTCTCACCTGCAAGGCTTGTTCTGCCCGTGCCTGGTGAAGCTGGGCTTGCAAATCACTAATTAATTTCTCCTTCTCCTGGAGATCACGTTTGATCTCTTCTCCTTTCGTTTCTTCATCTGTAGAATTCGCATCATGCTGAAAAATACAATAAAGTCACTTTATTGAGTGTACTGCAGAGGGTGGAGCTGGAGAGGTAACCCAAGCCCTTAAGAAGAGTCCAGACGATCGTGAGTGGATCCCAGATCCTGGACAGCTGGAATTTGGTTTTGCTTTGATTTGACTGTGACTCTGCCCTGATTTCCCCCTCTTGAAGTAGAAATGTATATTATTGGAGTCCATAGTTGAGAGACTTTCAATTTTAAAAAACTTAGGATTTTAAAAGAGATTGACTATTTTAAAGGGATTGACATTTTAATGTGTCCTCATACCTCGGAGAGCCGCTCCACTGCCTGGGGATCCGTAGGCGAAGCAGCCTCTCCTTGAGCTTTCAGTTCTTCTATATGTTTATTCAAAGACGTGATCTTCGCTTTCGAGAGCAGTTTTATTTTTTTCATTTTGGTATCGGCAGCTTTTCGTTCCTCCTGCCACAGAGCAATGGAGACAATAAGGGAGTGTTCACTGTTTACCTAGCACACAGCTTACTTCTGGCAGGCGGCAGGCCTACAGCCCTTAGGAATAAGACCCAGGTTCTCGAACACTCTAAGAGAATGACCTGTCTTTAGCAAATGCTCAGCCAGTGGCCGAACAACCAACAGTACCTGCAGAGCTTCATCTTTCTGCAGGAGTTGAAGGTCTTTCTGCCGAATGATCTCTTTTAACTCCACCACTAGCTTCTCCGCATCAGATAGGCGTTCCAGAACATCCTCTGATATGCTATTATTTAACTCCATATCAGATTCCTGTGGTAGACATAACACAATAAAAATAATGCACAGGGAAAAGCATCACCGACTCTCAGGAATCACCTCAGCCTCTGCCCAACTCCTCTCTTTCGAAACTGAGCCCTAACCAATCCCGCAGCACTGTTCCTCACCATTACAATACAGTACGTATTTTGTCAAACTTAAAGTTTTATTATTCTAATTTTATCAAAGAGGAAAATAAAGTGAGGCAAGGATTACATATTATTGAGCAGAGAAACCCCAAATTTAAAATTAGAGATGAGCTAAGGGCTAGAGCTGTGGCTTAGCTGGCAGTGAATGCCTCGCATGCACTAAAGCCTGGCTTCAATTCCCAGCACCACACAACCATGACCCCAACACCCAGAAGGCATAGGCTCAAAGATCAGGAGTCCAAGGTCATCTTTGGCTAGCTGCATAGCAAGCTGGGGCCAGCTTGGGAGACATGAGACCCTGTCTCAAACAAAATAAATTCAATAAAATAAAAAAAGAAGTTATTTGAAAATTAAAAAAAAAAAAAAACACCCCTTAACCATTTAGTTTGTTGCTTGTCTTTCAAAAAGCTGGTGGACTTCTTTTGAATCCTTAAGGGTCAGAAAATACAATGCCAACTATAAGAAAGGTAAGCGGATTTATAGAAACAGACAGATGTGTTCAAACAAAAATGGTGCTCCAGTCTCCCCGTTTACTCTTTACACCTTTCCCATGAACCAGGAGTTATGTTCCCAAGGAGGAGGAAGGGGAGGAGTGGGAAAAGGGGAGGAGTTGGAGGAGGAGTGGGAGGAAGGAGAGGAGTAGGAGGAGGGAGGGGAGGAGGAGTGGGAGGGGGAAGGGGAGGAGTGGGAGGAAGGAGAGGAGTGGGAGGGGGAAGGGGAGGAGTAGGAGGAGGGAGGGGAGGAGTGGGAGGGGGAAGGGGAGGAGTGGGAGGAAGGAGAGGAGTGGGAGGGGGAAGGGGAGGAGTAGGAGGAGGGAGGGGAGGAATGGGAGGGGGAAGGAGAGGAGTAGGAGGAGGGAGGGAAGGAGTGGGAGGGAGAAAGGGAGGAGTGGGAGGAGGAAGGAGAGGAGTGGGAGGAGGGAGGAGAGTGGGAGGGGAAGGGGAGGAGTGGGAGGAGGAAGGAGAGGAGTGGGAGGAGGGAGGGGAGGGAGAGTGGGAGGAGGAAGGGGTGGAGTTGGAGGAGGAAGATGGTGACAACGACTTCTTAAGACAACATGGTCCTAAACAGGCCAAGCAGCCAACAGAGACCATCTTTCCAAGCTCCTCTCGACTCGGTTTCAGTCCCCACAGCTCTCGGGCTAACAATCCTCAGCAGACGTTCATTTCCAGAGTCGCAGCAGTTTTCTTCACCATCACTTCTACTCTGCCTGGGGAAGGTTGCCCACACTCCTCTAGCTTAAGGTATACTCCTCAGAAAAACCCAGCACGGAGGTCTCATCAGTTTGGATCTGGACAGAGTTACTCACAGCTTCTAAACGAGCTGTCATGCTCTGGTCAGCACTATTTCCTGATAATTCATGAATAACAATATTCGCCAATCCTGTTAATCGACTCAGCATCTCTGCGGGTGAAAGAAAAGAAAATGCAACAATCAGTAAAAACAGAAAGGCAGCTAGAGAATGAATGCAGCAGACAGGTGCCGCTAGACATTGGTACCCATATCACCTACGTGAAATAAGGTGTGGATTTACACATCCAGGCAGTGTGTAAAGTACAGCCACACCCTGGCCTGCTCAGGGGCCATATTGTAAGTGCCATCACCAGGATCAACTTGAAAAGTAAAATGCAAGAACACAATCCTTAAATACAAGGACGTAATTGTCAAGTATGTCTTAAAGGCTGTCTTTAATGCCTTTTTTCCACTGGTAAACAAAAACCTTAAGTTTTCCTTCTTCCAGATTTACCCTTTTCTGATTTCCAATTAAGCACCAAGATGTAACAGAATTTCCCCTTTCATGTGTCCCCGATCCCATTCTTTCATGTAGTTTTCCTGACAAACTGTGTGATGTCAGCAAAGTCACTGTTCAAAATGGGGTCTAAATATCTAATTAGTAAATGACTGAAATCAGTATCTTATGCTTGTTCTGCAAGGAATTAGAGAAACAAAAAGCAACATAAGCAGAAAAGAGGAAATACAGCCTAGAGCAAAAATCAGTAAACAGAAAATTAAAGCCCATAAAACAAAGGCTGTTCTCAGAAAAGAGCAATAAGGATGACGAAGCATGAGAATTTTTTTCAACTGATATCACCAATGAAAATGTAACATCACTACTGACCTGCCATACATTAAGAGAAAACACAAATACTCCTACATCCATAATGTCAAAAAAGTAGGTAAAACGAGCCAGTCCTTTAGCGGGTACAAGCTCCCAAATGTCAAGGGAAAAAAGCTAGAGTCTGAACACATTCAGCTGAATGTATGGCAATACATCTATATCTGCATAAGCACGCATACATGAGATGATGCTGGGTTTATATTTTATTTAAAATTTTCTGAAAGAGGAAAAATCCAGGTCAAGAGGGCTCCACCAGTGAGTGGCAGCTGGTGAGGACTGAATCGTATCAGTTTACGTCGTTTCCAGAAGATAGGAGGCAACACTATGCAACTTATTTCACGAGGTCAGCAATACAATAAGTAATATGAAAGAAGAATCCTATGAGAAAAGACAACTTACCATAGACCATGTTCCCCATGGTCACAACAAAGGATTCAAATTCTTTAACAAAATATAGGCTACGCAAACACCGCATGACATAAAAGGCTCCCACTTGAAGACACGGCAGGTGATTCAGTGTTGGGCAGAGAAGACATAAGACAGAGACAGGAAGAAGAGCTGGAAAGTGGGGCACAAGGAACCCACTTGAAGGAGCTCTCTCTGAGCGAGGCTAAACATAACTCACAATGGGAACGCGGTACGGCTCAGAGGTTAAGAGCACCAGCTGCTTTTCCAGGTCCCAGGGTTCGCTGCTCAGCACCCACACAGCCGCCAACAACTGTCTGCAACTCCAATCCTAGAGGATCTGATGCTCCCTTCTGACCTCCTCGGGTGCTGCTGCATGCACATGGCACACAGACATCCATGCAGGCAGAACACCCATACACAAAAAATAAAATGGACAAAATATTTAAACAATAAAATAAAAAGATTCACAAAATAAGTTAATCAAAGTCACAGCAAGAAATGTAATTCAAATAAGAATATACCTGTCTACATTGATAAATACATATACCAAAATAAACAAAGTAAAAGAAACAGATCGCCTTACACAAGAATTCCAAAATATTAACGTAACAACAACCCCCTTAAGAAGTAGATTTTAATTTCACCCTCACCTGCTCCATGCCCCTGTGAGAAGTGATCTTTGTCCCACTCTCTGAGTATGGATGGACTGGACTTAGCAAGCCATTTCAAAAGAGTACAGATGTACAGATCAGAGTACAATGATGCAGCAGTCACAGAGATGGCTAATGGCCATTGACAACTTAGCTGGATTCAGAACGACCATGAGAATACCTCTGGCTGTGTCTCTGAGAGTGTTTCCAGAAAGGGTTAGAAGCTGTACAATCTACCCTGGATATGAGTGGCACTGTCCCATGGGTTGGGGTCTTAGATTGAAGAAGAAGGAAGGAAGGAACTGAGTACCATGTTCTTCTCCTGTTTCCTGACCATGGATACAGCCACCAGCTGCCTCACACCCCTTCCACCATGCTTCCCCTACCCTCAAACCGGGAGAGCAAATATTTAAGTTCACTTTGTCACAGTAATGCCATCTCAACCACAAGACTGTCACAACATACACCCTCTGATGTGATGAGAATACCTTACCTCTGTAGTGTTCTTCCCACAAACCATAACCCAAGGTTATGACAGACACCAGGAAAACCTGATTTTATCAGGACATTCTAGAAACAGCTCACCTATATTCTTCACAGCAATGCACAATAGCAAACTAAAGACTAAAACAAGTGAGACCACTCTGATTAAATCCAAAGACAGACATCAGATTGAATTCTGAAATGGGAAAAGGATATTAGTGGGAAATGGTGACATGGAAGTGAAGTCTACCTGTAGTTCAGTTCATGGCACTGTACTAACACTCACGGTTTTGAACCCCTTAACCACAGTACGGGTTAAGGGTTTACTTACTGCATTAATTACTGTATTAATCTTTGTTAAGTTTTTAAGAATTTGTTTTGGCGCTTGCATTTTATTTTGTGTATGGCTGTTTTGCCTACACGCACATCTATGCATTATGTGCATGCAGGGCTCACAAATCCAGCACAGAGCCTTTAGATCTCCTGGAAATGGAGTTACAGGCGGTTGTGAGCTGCCTGCCATGTGGGTGCTGGGAATCAAGCTTAGGTTCTCCAAAAGAGCAGCTAGTGCTCTTAACCACTGAGCAATCTCTCTAGGCCCTAATCGAAGGACCTATGTTTCTCAATAGATGATTGTAGGAGAGAGGGGAGGTGTATCGAGTGTGAAAAGGGCAAGATTCCCAAATGGATACTAAAACTATGAGGAAACCACAAGGAAGTGATTATTTTAGGGAGAGAGGGCTATGAATGGGACAGGTCATATGGAAGGGCTTCTAGAATGGTTAACCAAGTCATATTTGTTACAGTAACTTATGAAACTACATATATTTTAGTATGGTTTTCTTTATGTGTGTTTTGTTTTCCAATAAGAAGTGCTTTTTTTTTTTTTTTTTGGTTTTTTCGAGACAGGGTTTCTCTGTGTAGCTTTGCGCCTTTCCTGGAGCTCACTTGGTAGCCCAGGCTGGCCTCGAACTCACAAAGATCCGCCTGGCTCTGCCTCCCGAGTGCTGGGATTAAAGGCGTGCGCCACCACGCCCGGCCCAAGAAGGGCTTTTAAGAAAAGTTAACAGAAATTGTTAAACAATTATGTTTAGAGACACCCATAAGAAAGTTTTCATTCTTATTTTTATTGTTATATATCTATATAGTCTATAAGGTATATGATGTTGAGATTCAGGCATACTGTGGGCGGTAATCAACTCAGGGTAATTAGCATATTCATAAGGGAGTTTCTAGACTTAAAGCCAGGCTTTGTCACACACCCTGACCTATAAACACTTAGCTAGTTGGCTGCTTTCCATCACTTTCAGCTCAGATTCCCCAGCCCATCCCCAAATCCATCTGTACTGTAGCCCTGCTGGTCCACCCACACTTACTTCTTTGAGTAGCTTGGACTGTGGTAGTACTACTTTTTGGGTTAATGAGAAAAGTACTGGAATCTCAAGCATAGGACTCCTCAATGTTTTTAAGCTATAACTTCTTTAGAGAAACGTAAAAATAAAGTACGTTAGGATGCAACACATGTGTACGTACCCACCCGAAGCACTGTATCTTAAATATTTTGTACACTGTCATTAAAAGATAAGATGGACTGACTGAAAAAAATCCCCGAGGTTGATGGGAAGGGGATGGCAATGTAGAAAAAGCATGATGTAAAGCTAGTAACAGCTTCCTGGCTCAGCACGCCATGGCTCTATCACATGTGCTCCTCAGTCACTTTACCTTGTCAACGTCAACTCCTTCACCTTGAGATGAAGAATAAGGACTAGTTAGAGACAACTAACGCAGTTCCACAGCCCAAGAGTGGGTTCTGGGACTGAGACTACAGCATGCCAAAGAGAAGGCATCTTTCACACAGCTGGGAGCTTTGTATAGCTCAAAGGCCAGGAAGCCACGGGCATGAACGCTAAATGGAGCAAGATGGGTATCCCTTCTAAAAGGCTCATCCCGAAACACAAACACACTGTCAGAATCGGCAAATGGAAAACACTGTGGTGAAAAAGTCACACAAGGAAAATGTGACTGCTATCATTTTACAAAGCACTGTTAAACAGAAAACTAAAACAGAGCTCCATGTGAAGGCCAAGCATTTATAAAACAGGCAAAAAACAAAAACAAAAACAAAAAAAAAAAACAAGCTCTTCAAGTCCATGCTCGCCACACACTCCCTGCCACAAGACCCGAAATTATATGAAGTACTATGAATTCAAATAAAAAGCCTTGGGCTGGAGAGATGGCTCAGTGGTTAAGATCACTGGCTGCTCTCCCAGAAAACCTGGGTTTGATCCCTGGCACTCACATGGTGGCTCACAACTATCTGTAACTCCAGTTCCAGGGGATCTGGCACCCACTTTTAGATTCCAGGGACACTAGACACACACATAGTGCACAGACATACATGCAGGCAAAATGCCCATACAAATAAAATAAAATTTAAAATAAAGTAGAAACAAAAATAAAAAAGTTTATTTTCTCAAAGCCTTCACTGTTTATTGACAATTATTATTTTAAAAAATATGTATCAGGTATGTAGTGTTTCACTAGGAATTATAATAATAAGGAAATAGATGGCACATCCCTAACCACAGAGAACATAGTACAACATGCGCAGGAATATAAGCAAAATAAATAGCAGAAGCGTGTGCCTGTGTGTACATACTCCCGCATCACTTGCTTTGGAATTTGAATCACATGCCCACAGTACATCACTGAGCCACTCAAGTTCATTTCATGCATATTTGATTGCACCTCAGTGGTTTTGAGTTCTTAACTTTCAAAGTGATCCACAACCAGGCTGAAGAATTAATAGGACAGTGTTGCTACTATAGCTAGAAAAATCATATTCGATATTAGGCTATTCCTTTACAATTAGAAAAGCAAAACTTTTTGTTAACTTAGAAATAAATGGTAACTATAGCATACAGACACAAGCCCTGCCCAGCAAGCAATGCTCTAGGCCTTTACATAGACCTACTTATCCTCACTGTTTATTTTATCCAAAAACGCTAAAAAGAGGTACTATCAGTAGCCCTCATTTTAAGATGAGAAAACTAAGACAGGGAATTTAAGTAACTCATCCAGTAACGCCACTCTACAAAGCTCAGTTGGTAGAGACACACAAAGACATCTCTTTTTCTGAGTGACTTCCTCACCCTACATCCTTCATCCAGGATGAAAACAGGGATGCGTGTGAGGGCACCATGTTAATAGCGATGTGGGCGACCTTATTTTTCTGAGTAGTAAGTGCATAAGCCAACCTGACGATTCATAGCAGTAAGCCCTTACATAATTTATTACTTTTCCACACATAGGCTCACACAGACACAAAGACGTCATCGCAGCCATGTTTGACTGCTTGTGACTGGAAACAATCTAAACGCCCATCCAGGGGAGACTGCTAACTGTATTTTTTGAATTTCTACAAGGGAATGCTGTATAGCTGCCTGAGAGAATAGTGTGTTTTCTGCTCGTGCTTACTGAAAACGCATTTTATACAGACTCAATTGCTGTGTAAAAATTCTTTTCAGATTTTGAAATGCTTTGGATTCTGGAATATTGTACACATATAAAGAACCATCTTGGGAACAGGGCCTAAGTTTAAACACAAAAATCATTTATATTACATATATATATATTTAACACACACAGACTGAGGGCAATTTTATATAGTATTTTTAATAATTTGTGCATGAAGTTTCATGGTGTTGAATTTTCTGTTAGCATATGAATACTCACCAAGCTTTATTTTTGAACCCTTCATGTTTCAGACGTTAAGATCAGAGAGACTGTATAATATTAAGTGACAGAAAGATGCACTGTGACTCACATGAGGAGAAGTATGTATTACATGTATGTATTACATATGTGCTTTAGCGGTCAGAACATCTCTTAGGGGCATATTATTTACCTGGCTGATTTCTGGAGTGGGGAATGGAGACAGAGGTAAGTAGGTAGAATTGTGGTTTACATTATTATTCTCTTTGGTTTTGAATTTCCTTTTATCAAAGGCATATATAATTGATCCTAAAATCATTAAAATGAGAAAGAATATGAAAGGGCTGAGGGTGTAACAATGGTTGCCTAGCATGCATTGATTCCAGCCCTGAAAGGGGGGGGGAGGGGTCTCAGGCAGCCCAGGGTGCTCTTCACAGGCTTGTTACTAAGGGACGGTATGTAATAATCAGTGGTGAGATGTCTCACAAATAACTTATTCCTAATAGGCAACCAAGAGAAGTTAATGATATATGGGAGTATCAGCATCTCTTTAATTCAAATGGGTGGGGGCGGCAGGGAAAGAGATGAACTTCAAAAGTCAATCCAAAAGTTAAGATGATTATTTTTACATCTTACAGTAGAATGGAAAGCCCACCCCCCAAAAACGTGGGAATCCTCAGAAATGCTGACAGCTGTCTTGAGAAACCAAGGAAGCACCTTCTATGTGATCTTCAAATTCTGTTGAGTTGGGCCAGATTTTCGTTATGTTTCACTTAATTTCCCTAGTTTGTATTTTTATAAACATGTGGCATATTTACATAGGTATTCACACATTATCCAAAATATACTATATACTTAATATTATATAAAACAAAATAAACATATTTAGGAGGAATAGGCTCAAAATGTTTTACCTATAGCATATGCAATTAAAAACTTCAGGAACTACTAATGTAGTCAAATGTAACTCCAGCGAAGAAGGAAGCATGGAATGGTCCTTCCAGGATCAAGGAAGTAAACGCAGTGTAATGAATACACAACGCTTCAACTCCTGGAGGCAAGAGCTCTACCACTTGGGTATACTTTTAGCCCTGAAACTTTTGAGTTATCTTCCATTTTTTTCCCCCGTACCTATTCCAAATCGTCTCATTTTTCTAACAATATTTCCGGAACCTGACCCGTAACAGCCATTCCGACCATCCACACCTTATTAACTCATATTTCTGGAAAGGACTCGACACGGTTACAAACTTTTTCACTGTCATCTTACCCAAATCTGGAAGGTCGTCCTCAAAGCGCCTGGAGAGCTTCCAACTATCTCCAAAAGTCAACGTGTTTACTACCCATGATTTTAAATATCTGTCCCACCCTCACAACGGCCCTCTCTCCACAGACCAACTGCAGCGCTTTAAATAAACCAGGCAAATGGTTTCTCCAATCGCCTAAGGGACTCACTCACCCTCCTGTTCGCATTCCTGTGACACATCAACCAACACCAGCCCAGCCCACACGGCCAAACCGAGGTGGTTTTTTTCCTCCAGAACTCCCTGTTCACAGGTCCCTTTCCTGTGAACACCTCTGACTCCTGGATCAACTCTCCTCCCTCCTCTTTCCCAACCCGTTAGCATCAGCAGGATCCTGCGTGGAACATCGTTGTCCTCTGCCTACTTGGAGTCCCGCCGCTGCCGCTGCCGCTGCCGCCGCCGCCGCCGCCGCCGCGGGGCACAAAGTTTGTTCGGGGGCCGGAGCTCAGGGCTGGAGCAGGCTCCGTCCGGCGTCCTCGGCTGCGTGCCCAGCCTGGCTTCCAGAGGCCGCTCGGACACAGGGCCGTGCACGCCAAGGGCTGGCCAGCTCGCCCGCCTCTGGGGCTCTCCCCCCCCGGGGGAGAACCGACCCTGCTGGCCGCCTGGGTGTCCGTGCTCCCGGGTCGCTTACGGCGGGGTGGGGTAGAGGGGGGGAAGCCCCGGGTGACCCACCTAGGCCGGGCAGGTGACGGCGGCGGAGCCCGGAGGGGCGGGGCGGCCGGCCGGCAGCCGCTGCCCGTGTCCCTTGGCCAGCGGCCCCGCGGCAGGCCTGTGGCGGAGCTCCCCGCGGAGCCCGCCGACCCCACTCACCTGCAGGTGGCCGCCACGGGCTACTCCGGCCGCCCCCTGCCCGACATAAGCCACGTCAGCTAGGAAATCCCAAGCTGAACGCCTCCAAGCGCCGTGCCCCTGGGACACAACCACTCTCCGTGGGACGGAAAATGGGACTGAGACGTCGGCCTATCGGAGCCGCTCACGGGCCGTTACCACGGCGACCAGGCACGCCTTGTGTGTAACTAATCGCGTCACAATGGCAGACACCAATCAACGCCCTAAAGCCTTCCACTTCCTCAAAGAGGGGACCAATGGAATCTAGGCAGGAGAGGCATGGCGGATGAGTCTGTGTTGAGGTGTGACCCGGAAGAAGATCCCAAAAGGCTCGGCGATGCCGAGGGGGCGGGTAGTCTGCAAAGATCAGGTGTCTGCTGTGTAGTTTGGGAGTTCCGGTTTACCCTGCTTTATCACATAGTGTTGCTCTTGCTAGCGACCATGGCCTTGGCTTCTGAGGAGCTTTGGACTAGGGACGCTAGCGGCTAGTATTGGGATATGTGTGAGAATCAACCCTTGGTAGAGCCTGAGACTTGCATGGCGTTTTAACTTTGTGATGGAAAAATATGAGAATCAGAGACATGGCTAGCCAAAGACAAACTGCACTTTAGTAATGGAGCTCGGACCACAGCATGACGTCACAAGGCATCCTTTGCTGACACCGCTCAAGATGTGAGTGTGAGAGATTGTAAAGGGTTGGAAATTGGCGCTTTAGCTGGGATAAGCAAACTGAGGTTTAAGGGCTCAGGCTCTGGGATGAGTCATTGAGGAGCTCCAACAAGAGACAGACAGTACTCATCAAGTGCTCCTTCATCCTAAGACGGCGGAGGGGGCAGAAACCTAGCCAACTCCTTCCTAATGATTTCAGACATCCTTCATAAGAATGTTAATGTGAATTGATTGAATCTCATTATGCACCAAGCACTCAGCTAGCTCACTCACTATATTTGCAATCTCATCCTAGTGATCACTTCATCTTTTGAGGCCCAAATAGTAGCTCAGTAACATCTCCTACCTATTCATTTAAAATTGTAGTTCCTATATTTACTGGATATCTTTTGCTACCTAACATCTTATTGTCTTATCACTAGTTTAAGAAATCCTGATGTTTTTGTCTCTTTTGATCTCAGTTGTATCTCCAGGTCCCAGAATAGTATACAGGGTGTACTAAATGTCCCTTGAAGCAATAAGTTATGTGTGATTATCTTTAATTTAAATATAATAAACTTCAAAAGACTGATTTATACAACGTTGTGGGGGAAGGGACAGAGCTCAGGATAAGAAGTAAATTTTGCTGGGCAGTGGTGCCACACGCCTTTAATCGCAGCACTCGGGAGGCAGAGGCAGGCGGATCTCTGTGAGTTCGAGGCCAGCCTGTACTACACAGCGAGTTCCAGGACAGGCTCCAAAACTACACAGAGAAATCCTGTCTCGGAAAAAAGTAAATTTTATCTTTGTATACTTTCATTTAGATCTTTCAGTTTTAAGATATGTCCATACAGAAGTTGGAAAATTATCTGGTAGTTATGGCCCCACCGTCTCTTGGGCAGTTCTAGACTGGTTATTCACAGAGAATTGCAGTGACCTCAAAGGAAATGAAATGTGGAAATGTGGAGAGGTTAGAGATGAGATGAGCTCTTTAAACCTTCAAAAATCAATGAAGGACTCAAAATGGTTTAAAATGCAACTCACTGGCAGCACATTGGCTGAGACATTGATTGAGATAGCAAAAGGGTAATTTAGGAATTATCCAGGTGTGGTGGCACTTGACTTTAATCCCAACACTTGGGAGACAGAGGCAGGCAGATTTCTGAATTTGAAACCAATTTGGTTTACGAATGGAATTCCAGGCCAGCATGATGAGTGAGTCAGTCTGTGTCTCCAACGTCTCTCCCAAAAGCAAATAATTAGGAATTGACACCAAATGAGAGTGGAGAACAGTGGGGGTCAGTGCAGCATCATATGTGGATTGACTGGGATATTTGACAATGGTCATATGAACTGATAGGCAAGGAGCATGTTGACTATATAAAATGGTATGCTGTTTTACGCAAAGACATTTGCATAGTATTCTGAAACCAAAGAAGTTTGCATCACTCTGGTGTCTCATGATCATTTTGGGCCCATGAGATGGTTCTATAGGTAAAATGTGATGATCCAGTTTTGATCCCTGGACTCTACATGAAGGTGAAAGGGGGGAAAAAAAGTTGTCCTCTGACTCCACATGTGCCGTGGAAATCATATACACATATCATACACAGTGATGAGTATTATTTTAAAAAAGGAATGATTGTTTCTCTAATTACAAGTATAGTGAGGAAAAGTTGAGGGAAAAAAAGTCCTATGCCGCAGCACACATGTAATATTAGAAAAGGGATGTTGGGGATTGAGAGGCTTAAAGTGCAAGGGTGGAGATGTGTGTGAAAGAGAAATAATGAAGGCGGAAAAGTCTGAGTGGAAAGGGTATGGGAATGGAGATGTTAGGAAGGGGTGAGAAGATAGCAAACCCAAACTAAGATTATGGGAAGCCTTTTTATTTGTAAGCTAATTTATTTGTAAGCTGATTTATTTGTAAGCTAATTTTAAGACATACTGGATTTCTAAAATGGAGTTTAAACAAAGGACTTTGCATGGGTGGATAATGCTGTTCCCATGCCCATGGGTTCTTCAGCAAATCCCAGTGCTAAGTATGGGATATCTCCCTACGAGTTATTGGTCAAGGAGGGCTCAGAAACCCAGACAATACAAGCTACTTCAATTACTCTTGGTTGTCCACCAGAACTAGATGGTGAAACTGTATAATAGAACATACACACTTTCCTTACAGAACAGAGAAATAAAACTGAGACTGACCTGGAAACTGACTAGCCTTTGTAGTGCTAGAAATGATGATCTGGGCTGCTGGGAAAGAAGTTAGCATTGGTTTTAGACTACAGTGGACCCTGCATGCTGCAATACTGGCCTACCACATAAGATGTGCCCAACTGGTGCAACCATGCTACAATGGCATGAATGTTTTGGAAGTTACCCAATCTCTTTCTGGTTGGATTCAGGCATGCTCTACAAAAGGGAATTCATGTCTGGTACTGTAAATCTGGTCAAAAGCCCTTAGCTGGAAGGTATAAACACTAGGAAGGAACATCTATTGTTTTGCTGAACGGACATGTTTCCACATTGCCTTGTAAATATGTGTATACCCACTGAGTAGTGATGTTTCTTTTTGCCATGAGCAAAGGTGAATACAGAAATTTGCAACTAGTCAAAGGACTGAGAATAAGGGACCATCGAGTACTCAGCCTTGAAAAGGACATCAGTATCACTCCCCACCACCATGGCTTAGAGAATGTCACAGAAGAGGAGGCAGTAAGAATTTAAAAACTGGAGGATAGGGAGAAGGGCCTTGATAAGCTGTCTTCTGGACATAACATGGCTGTTGCACTATGGTAACTTTCATAATATCGCTCAAGATGAAGCCTTGTCAACATTGCAGCATGGATGGAGGAGCAAATGAGGCCCCACTCCTAGTCAAATAACTAATTGGAGTTAATGCATTTCGGGGACGAGTATCAATCTTTTTCAATGAGGGCACCATTAGTAAATTGCCCATGATTTGGTAAACAATCCATCACCCATGCAAATGCAGGCAACCGTAATTAAACTCAAATAGTTTTGTTTGCTTTTTAAAAACATGAAAGTAGGAGGGGGTTGCTTGGGAGTTTTCTAGAGGAACTGGGAGGGGGATAAGAGAAAGTAAGAGTGTTCCCTATCAAAATGCATTGCAAACATGTAGGAATTAAGAAAGAATAAAAAATTTAAAAAAATGGTCTCACTCTTCAGGTTTAATCCTCTGGACAGTTTTCTCAAGGCCCCTCCTCATCTTCCCCTATGCCAAATAGACATCCCAAAACTTTCCTACAGCTTGTGTGTCTTCCAGATGTATTTTATCTTCAATTTAACATTTATTCAAATATTTGTCAAATATATAAGTTGCACGTAAGTATATCACACACATATATTATCTATATATACAATGTATACTGTATATACCACAGGTATAATCTATACCAATGAAGCATATCATCTTATAGATTAGAAAAAGAAGCGGCCAATTAAAGACTATTTCATTGAAAAACAGTGTCAGGGGTTGGAGAGATAGCCGGGTAGTTAAGAGCACTTGCTCTTGCAGATGACTCACATCAGGTTCTCAGTACCAATGTCTGGTGTCTCACAACCCCCTTGAGCTCTGGGGGAATCTGACACCCTCTTCTGGATGTTTTGCATACAGACCTCAGCATCGTTACACAGACACACTCTCATACTCGAATAAAAATAAAAGTAAAACAAAAACAAAAACAAACAGTAATTGAACTTATTTTCCGTTTTATCATTTCTAAAAGGAAATACACAAATCCAACAGCTAAGCATGGTGGTATATGCCTCTAATCCCAGCACTGGAAGGCAGAAGCAGGTAGATCGCTGTGAGTTTGAAGCCAGCCAGAGTTAAATGATGACACCCAGTCTTTAAAAAATGCATTATTTGGGGGGTTTGGAGAGGCAGCTCAGTAGTTAAGATCACTGGCTCCAGGTTCAGTTCCCAGCATCCACACGGCAGTTCACAACTGTCTGTAACTCTAGTTCCACGGAATCCAACACCCTCACACAGACAGACATGTAGACAAAACACCAATGCACATAAAATAATTTTTAAAATGTATTTTTAATACAATATAAGAACTATAATCAACTGTTTCCCTCTATGTCTCTTCTCCAGTTTTTCAGATAATTAAATGTCCTTTAATTGACCACTGCTTTTTCTAAACTTTGTCAAGGTGAACGATATAATGGTAGTAATAATAATGGAAATTCTAAATAACAAATGTGAAAAATCAAAATAATCCTGACAAGTTTTTCAAGAACACAATACTTATTTATTAAAAAAAAACAACCAACCTTTAGTTAGAAAACAGAAATGAAAGAAATTTCATATTACATGTCAACAATAGAATTTCACACTGACTTCTGTTTCACAATAAAAGCTGATGAATCTGTTTGTGAATGGAGACAGGGTAGAGAAGGGGGAAAGAATTGGGATCGAGGTAGGCAATGCTTGTTGCTTCCAAGTGTTGCATGA